CTCCCTCCCTCCATTCCTCCATCCCTCCCTTCCTCCCTCCCTTCCTCCCACCCTCTATCCATTTATCCACCCATCCATTCATTCATTTAATACAGGTTTTTCCTATTCTGAACACTACCTTGGGTGAAATGTAACAGTAGAGTTTCTTGTTAGAAACTCGGTACTGACTGCTGTCAAGACTTGATATAGTAAGATTTATTCCATTTATGCCTGCACTGGACGCAGATCTTCTACTAGGAGTTAAATGCTGGTTCACTGGGTTGTTGTTAACGAGTAAGGACGATTCATACCAGACATTGTAGCAGTGCTTCTGAATATTTTTTTCAACTGCTGTCCACTCGTCAACTGCAAAACAAAATGTCAATGTGATATAACCAATAAATTCTCATTATAGTTCGAACGAAGATAGAGGTTAAACCCCTGTTTTCCAATAGGGCTTTCCAAAAAAAAATATCATGTATTTAAGCAATTTATTTTATTGAGAGTTTGAGAGTGTGGTGTATCAACTGAGGAGACTGGTAAATAGTGTAGACTTTTGTCCGGAATAAAGCTAGTCTGGCTGCAGACCTTGAGTGGAGCAAAGCCGTTTCTGTTTTATTGTGTACCTTTTGCATTATTTTACAGAGAGAAACTAGAGACCTAATGCAGCCAATTTTGAGGACAAAACAACAGAATTTTACTCACAACTTCAAAATTATTTCTTAGCTCAAAAGTGTCATTATCTTCCTAAAAATCACAAATTTACTCTCCTGAGAACTAACATTCATTGTTTTGCTTTTCAAGTTTGGCTGTAAAGAGGATGATTGTCTAACTAAGACATAAAATATCACTTACTGGTAAGAGATAAGATGGTTAGTGCAGAGTTGTCTATTCTTGCACCATCATAGCTCACTTCTCCAGCATAACATCCTTCTTCCTCTATTTTGATGTGTAGGACATTCCCAACAGGTGAATCCGTGGTATCAACAAACAGTTCTGGGTCAACTTTTCTTCTGGATCCAATCTATGAAAAATAATTCGTGCTTCATCATTTGCTTATTCAATCATCGGTTTTCCTTCCTTCACAAAAATCAATTCCTAAATTCCAATTTGATCTTAGAAAATAGGGTTAAACTCACATCTCTCTTCACACTTTATGAATAAATTGGCTATAATATAAAAAGAACTGACCTTGGTGATGTCAACYTTGAATTTACCCAGACATTGTACATCAGTGAGTGCGCACGTGTTGCCATACTTGTCTCTCATCTGGACTATCAATGGTGAATAGGTGTCTTTTTTGACAACAAGCATTGACAGTCTGTCTACTATTATGCACTTGGATGATTCAACTGGACCTGAAATGTGGGAATAAATGAATGAATGATAAAAAATGAAAAAATGGGAATTAGCAGTGGTTACATAGAGTGGCTCTCTTTCTACTGAATCCAACAGGAATTTAGAAGCTGATGTTTGTGGTGGGACATGACAATGTTGAATGATGATGGTGATGATGATGATGGTGATGATGGTGATGATGATGGTGATGATGATGATGATGGTGTTGATGTTGATGATGATGATGATTATGGTGATGATGATGGTGATGATGGTGATGATGATGTTGATGGTGATGATGATCATGGTCATGGTGATGATGATGGTGATGATAGTGATGATGATGATAATGATGATGATGATGGTGATAATAATGGTGATGAAGATTGTAAGGTGGTGATAATGGTGA